TAGATGATATATATTTTAGTCAGATTTCATGAATCCGATTCTTCTGATATGCAGAGGTATAATACTGGAATGTTTTAATAAAGAATATTTGAATGTTCAGTTATAATGAAATAATAAATCTTTTTTACATTTGATAAATTTTATGTATAAATCGAAAATTTCCAACTTTGTTGTATTTAATATGATGTAGAAATAAAGACCTCAAGGTATAAATAAATATTATTTATTAAAAGTCATTTTATGCCTTTAGAAATTTAGTTATTTAGTTGTATTGTATCTATATTGTTGTTGCTTTGTTAAAGGTCAACCAATAACGCCATACACATTGAAATCAACCGTACAAATGATGACAAACGCGAAAACAGGTTAGAATTACACGTAAAATTTATTAAATATAGTTGAATTTATTATTGAATTCTTACTAATGATGAACTCATTCTCAAATCATATTTTCAATAGAAACAAAAAATTTAGTGAAAATCTTGTAGAAAAAAATTGAATGAGGATTTTTAAAATCTTTTACGTCACCATGATGGCCAACGAAGGTGATAGCAAACTATTGTTTTTGTTTTTTCAATACTCATATGACCTCTTTTGTAAAACATACATAAACATCGATTTTCTTTAGTTTTATAGTTTGAACATGACATTAGCATACTTTTACTGGTTTTCCATTCTTTCCTTTTATGTTTCGCTTGCTTGTATGCGAAAACGAACAAAATTCTATGTTTTTTTTCATAGAATTTCTCTATTCTGATATTAAACAAAGCTATATAGTTCTTTTTTGTACAATGTGACAGAATCACTGATCAATAGTTGGGTGTGAGTGTGACTGTGAGTGATGGTATAGATGTGAGTAAAAATAACACCCAGACCCTTTCCGTGAACTGTTTCCATCGATCATGCGATTATTTATAATGGGTGCAACGAAAGTTGAACCATGCAGGACGGCACATTCTTAAACCCATAGAGAATCGCACGAGTGTTCACTTTCTATTGTGTAAGTAAATGAGGATTGAGAGTCGTTGCTCAGTAACTAAACGAGAGAAAAAGATAAAATGAAAGGCAAAACAGAAAAAAAAACTCGATTATTCATTGCACACATTTCGACATTGACAACACGTACAACATGCCATGTGTCTTTGAAACACTGCCTGATGAAATTTTAATGATTATTATTAGATATTCGGGCGACGTCATAACATATTTCGAACATTTCACGGTTTAAATCAACGTCTGAATAACATTCTTGTCGATCATCGCTTCCATCTATTTGCTGGTTTCTTGCACATTGACGCACATGATGCAACTATTCATTGTTATTACAATTCTGCAGTGTTTCAGAATGTATCTGAAGTCTCATGTATCGTCCTATTCCAAAATTGTAATTCTGGCGCTGAATCGTACTCTGTTGATACGATTAGTTATAAAGCACGTGTTCTCATATATGTTAGATGACGAGATATGTGAGTGATTTTTCTAAGTGCTTGTAAATGCATTTTATAATTCAAGTAGGAAAATTAACAAAACTCTACGTGCGAATACGAATGCAATGTTTAACGATAGTTATTGTTAGCGTCCATGATGGATCACTTGGACGCTAAACGATGATTTAGATGCGCCTTCTAGTCTAATTGGCTTAGGACAACTGCCCGGATAGCAGGAGGTGTGGGTTTGATCCCCACGAAGGTCATCTTTTTCATCGTTCTGTCACATAACATCAGTGACACTGCTTGTCTCTTTCGTTCTATACATATTAGAGCTAACAGTTATTACGATGAAGCTCGTTAAAAATAAAAGCACGCAAGAAACATCGTTAAATATCTTCACGCGTGTAAACGAACTAGCTTTCCACGATAGTTAACACGATATAGCTCGTAAAAAATGAAAAAACGTAAGAAGCATCGTTAAAAACTTCACACATGAAAACGAATGCAATATTGAACGCCATCCAACGAGTTGGTGACCGTTAAAAATACAACCATGCGTGAAAAAGCGTGAAAAATCTAACGCCTTTTCACGAATTTCCCTAACTTACCGAAAATTTATGGAGCTTTCTTTGTTAAACTTCGTTAAATGCCTATTTTCCTTTTACATGGGAGATGATGACCGTTAAATGCCTATTTTATTTTTACATGGGTGATGCTTGATGTTATTCAAATTACTAAATCTTATTTGAACTATCATTTAGATTTATTTTTACTGCTTTAAAATCTTAAAATAATAGAAACGAAGAACGTCTAGTATTTATTTTTTTTCCAACAAAAAATAAAAAAATTGAATTAACAACAACCTGCTATTGATTGAGTTAAATGAATCATCATGAGGAAATGAATAAAATTCAAGTTTATTTCTATTTCTCACAATAAAGCTATGATATATCTTTAATTATGAAAATGAAAAGAAAAACAATTATATTTTGTGGATTAAAAATAAATAACATGAACGATTGTAAAAACAAGCATTGATCAGAACAATCAATATGTTCAATATAATTAGGTTTGAGTGGGTGTGGGTGTGGGTGTGGGTGGGTGTGGATGTGTGTGTGGGTGGGATGTGGTTGAGTGTGGGTGTGGGTGTGGGTGGGTGTGGGTGT